TTGAAGACAAATGAAATATATGGAAGGATAGCCCATTGGCCTGTATTCTTTCAATTATGATAAACATCTAAGCATATATCTATACATATATAAGCCTTGAACAATTCACCATCAATAATGAATATATTTATATGGATTTTAAATGAGCCAGTAGTCAGTTAGCATATTCACCCTGATTAAAAAGATATAATGAATTTAGAACAGGCTCTTTATTTACCAGGCTTAAATGCACTTAGCACATTACCATTTTGAGTGAGATTAAAAATTGAAGTATATTCTATACTTTATACTTAGACATTTAAAAATATAGTTTGTATTTTCTCTAAAAGTATAAATCATGTTATGGTTTATGACCTGATTAGAGAAAATGAATTCTCAAAAAATTTATTCACATTCCTCTTCAAGAAACACAATTTCTGTTTTTAAACCTAAAATAAGGTATTATTGATTATGGCTCCATAGCCTATAAAGATCAGAGTGAAACACCAACAAATCAATTTTTATGATTCTCTCTCATGTTAAAAAACAAAACAAAACAAAACAGAGAAACAAGTCCTTCTCCTAAGAAGCACACAATATGAAATCTAAGGGTCTTCTTTGACGCTTAATTCTGAGAGTTTCAACTAAGTCTTCTGGGAAGAGTCTTCTCTCTCACTAATTTGCTTCATACTAGAGCCAAAACTTTCTTCCTAGTCAACTGCTCCAATATCTCTACCTCCAGGTCAAAACTCTTCAGTGACTCCCTGCTAAAATACTAACTGAGACCTCCCTCAACCTTTCCTGGACTGCCCTCAGTGTGTCCCACTTCCCCCCCATGCCCACCCTGAGCTCCTGGAAGCTGGGTCCCTCCTCATTCCCAGACATGGCCTTTCCCCTAAACCTCTGCTTCCCTCATTCTCTCCCTGGACCCTCTGTTTGGAATGACCTTTATTTTTCACCCACCATACACTATCAACATGCCACTCACCCCTGATCCAGCTCAAACTCCCTGCTTCCTAAGTCTTCCTGAACTTAAACCCATCCCTCCTACTTCCCACTGCCCTTTCTCATTCCCGTGGGACTTATATGTTTATTTGGGTCTTATGTGTTTATTGCACAGATGCCTTCCTGCAGCATATGCAACTCTTCAAGTCTGTGTCCCTCCTGCCACCCACCAACCCTGACCCTGACGGCACATAGCACAGTGGTTACACAAAATGGCCTCTTGATTCTTGCTTTGGGGATGATATATACTTAATAGTTACTCACTGTGGCAATATAACAAACTCTTAGGAGCTCAGGCTTTAGTATGATACCACCTAAATTCAAATCCTGTCTCTATTACTTACTAGCTACAGGATCCTTTCGGTGCTTCAGTATCCGTATTTGTAAATGGGCATAGTAATAAAGCCTGCCTCATCCAGTCCTTAGAGAATTGATGATTCAGCGCATGCTAAGTGCACGGCACAGAACTTGCTAGTTCACTATTCTATTGTAAGCATCACTCAAGAGAGATTAAAGAAAAAAAAAAACTAGATCTGAATAAGTAGGTTAAAACACATCCTCTAAATCACAAGTTAGAATTATTTGAAAATAGAATGATTCACGAAACAACTTACAGCTTATACTTTGCCAGTTAAATTGAGGCTTACGGCAATTTTAAGATCATATTTATATCTAATATTAGACAGAGAATCAATTCATTTGGAGAGGGAATGTAGCAGGTGGATCACTGAATTTCAGGAAGAGCCCACACAGATGCACTAGAAGATGTGATCACTTCCCCAATTTATCAGTCAGGAATTGGAAATGAATCTGGATGGAAACAGAGTGAACAGCAGCAACCGAAGCACCTTATTGAGTGTACCATGCCAGGGACCCCCGAAGTCCTTGAGGGGAATGGCCCAGGCTGTGCTGCTTTACAAGGTGGAGACCTTGCAGATCAGGGCTTATTCCTGGAAGTATACAGCACTTTTATGTTAGAAACAAACACATAATGTGGAACAAATCAAGCACTTCCTGGCCTGAAACGCTTTGTGGCTTTCCATCCCTCACTATGAAAAAGTCAAAGTACTTCAATCTTTTTCACTTTCACATCCGCCAGGGTCCTCTCCAGCTCCACCCTACCCCTGTGTCCTTTCCTGTTCGCCACCAGGCACACTTGATCAATCTATACTGGCTGCCCGGCCATCGCTGGAATTTGACAGTCAAGGTCCTGCCTCACAGCCCTTGAACTTGAGAATTTCCTGCCTGGGAGGGATTTCTCAGATATCCACACGGCTCTCTCCCTTACCTCCTTAAGTTCTCACTCAAATGCCCCCTTTTCCATGAGGCCCTCCCTGGCTAGCAGCTGGAAAAAAGTGCCCTTCCCCACACATATTCCTGGCAATCCTCTTCCTCTTTACTTTTCACCATCTAACATTCTGTATATTGCTTTTGTTTTGTTTATGCATTGTTTCCTGCTATTTTAATAAAAGCTCCAAGTGAGAAGGGAGCCTCCCTCTGGTCGTTATTAGAGTTCTATCACCTAAAGCACTGCCTGGCACAAAGTGGACACTTGATGAACATCTGTGGAACAAATGAATGAACAACAGATCATAAGGCAGCTTATGACCAATCTGAAAAAAGTCCCAATCAAGGACTCCTTGCATTTAAGCCAGATCGTTCATGAGACATTCTACCTTGTATTTTGAAAGATATGTTTTGAAAAATTCATTAGTTTAGGTCAGCGGTTCTTGACTGGAAGTGATCTCTACACCCTCAGAATATCTGGCAACATCTACATACATATTTGGCTGTCACAGCAGGAATGTGGGCAGGCGTTACTGTCATCTAGTGTGTGGAGGTCAGGGAGACAGCTGGACACACTACAATGCACGGGCAGCTCCATATAACAAAGAGTGTCCTGGCTCAAAGTATCAATAGTGCCAAGATTGAGAAACTCTGATTAAGCTGGAGGTAATTTCTTAGATCTTCTGGGGAAGGAAGGAGAGAGGGAAGGAGAGAGAAGGAGGAAGGAAAGGAGGACAGGGGAAGGAAGAAGGAGGAAGGGAGGAGAGGAAGGAGAGAAAAAGGAAGAACCACTAACCTAAGCTAATGCTTTTTACAAACCAGATCCTTCAAAATACAAGGTAGAATGTTTTGTGAAAGCCTACTTTAAATGCAAGACACCACACACCTTGACTTTCTTTAGGTTGGCTACAAGGAGGGAAGAGGAGAAAGACAGAAGGGGGGAAGGGTTTGGGGAAAGGAAGGCAGGCAGGCAAGCTAAGTCAATTGTTGATACTATAGAAAGCCCAAACACACATAACTTTTATGTACAAAACAGAGGGGAGTTAAAAAAAAAAAAAAAAAAAGGCCGGGCGCGGTGGCTCAAGCCTGTAATCCCAGCACTTTGGGAGGCTGAGACGGGTGGATCATGAGGTCAGGAGATCGAGACCATCCTGGCTAACACGGTGAAACCCCATCTCTACTAAAAAATACAAAAAACTAGCCAGGCGAGGTGGCGGGCGCCTGTAGTCCCAGCTACTCGGGAGGCTGAGGCAGGAGAATGGTGTCAACCCGGGAGGCGGAGCTTGCAGTGAGCTGAGATCTGGCCACTGCACCCCAGCCTGGGCGACAGAGCAAGACTCCGTCTCAAAAAAAAAAAAAAACGAAAGTCATGTTCGCAAGCAAGGGAATCAAAGAGAAAAAAAAAAAAAAAAAAAAAAAAAAAAAAAAAAAAAAGTCATGTTCACCAAGCAAGGAATCAAAAAAGTGAGATGAGAAAACTGTCAAGGAGAGTCTTTGCTTCTAGTCCCCCAGACCTCTCTAAAGTGTCCCCCACATTCTGGTTACATGTATTCTCATGGGAATAACTGACAAAGTTGTAAAAAAAAAAAAAAAAAAGCAGGGGAAATCCCAAATTGCCATCTCCTCTTTGAGAGCTGCTCGACTGGTGCCGAAGGCCCAAAGCATGTGGCAGGAGCCAGCCGTACCAGGGAGCAGATGCTCCAGACAGGCTCTCTGAGTAACATCAGGGCTATGAGAACTCGGGGAGGAATTAACCAAGCCCGCAAACACAGAAGAAAAGATATTAAGAAGTACAGCATTCCTCCCTCTGCAAACATCATGCAAGTTAGACTAATCTCATGGTTAAATTACAGAGTGCTCCATCCACAAAAATCCACAGATAGCTTGGGAAAAATAAGTCTTTGGGAAGAATAAAAGTCTCATTGGCTGATAAAGTCATAACAAGCCTAAAACAAATTGTGTTAATGGTTGGATGAAAAACTGGAATTCTCGCTTCTCAAAGAGTACATTTGGTACACACATTGCTGTCTAATGAAGAGATGAATTCACTCTCCCGTTTCCTGCCCCCCCCCCCACGCCCCCCACCCCGCCATGTAAAGGCATTCTTTGGTGCTTTCTCTTCTGAATTTTGTATTTTTTCCTTCACTGACCCTGGTGCATTATCTTTTAGTTGGACTGCCAAAACACTTTTCCTTCTCCAAGAAAGGCTCTCTGCTTTCTTCCACAAAGCATTTTTTAATTTTGAAACCGAAAGCAAACATGACTACTAAAAAGACAAATAGAACTTTTGGGAAAATGGTCTTTAGAAGAACTGAGAACAAATGTGCAGTTACCAACAATTAATCTTTGAAGAAATGTACAGTCAGAAGGTATAAAGAAATACATGTGTGTTTTTCATTAATAAATAGAAATTCAGTCATTGATCTATATTTCTTGTAACCAAAGACAAATTCCTACCTTAAGATGGAAAGAATGAAAATGAATTGAAAAACTAGTCAAAATGTTTTGGTTGGTTAAATCAATATTGGACTGAAACAGAAAAAAATTATATCCCTGTATATCTGAAACTACTGAAAATATCAGATAAGAATGAGGAATAAAACAGTCGTTTCCTGCTATAGTTAGGAGGATTTTTCCCCCAGGTTGACAAAGATAAAGCAACTCTAGACCATAGAAACTCATCAACTATAAAATGACTCACAAATTGTTTATTAATAAAGGAAACTTACGGACAGCAAGGGAATGGCAACTTTTCCAAGAAAATCTGGGGGTTTATCTCCATCTTCATCAAACACTGTCACTTCCAAAACATCATGGATATCTTTAATGGGACTGTAACAAAAATACCATGTATTATACACAAAAACACACAAGTGAAGTCTGTTTCATGAAGATCTGGAAACACTGTTTCACTAATTAAGTCTGTATGTCCTTAGAGTATAAAACTACCATTTAATTAAATTCCAAAAATTAAATCAAACTGACTGTATTCCCAAACCTTCCATCATAGAAGATTCAGACATCCGTATGAAAAAAAGAAGTCAACTTTTTTACTATGACATTTTTTCAAACAGTATACCTGTACTCAAGGGTAGGACTTTCAAAGAAACTAAAGAAAGGATAGAGAGAAAGCATTAGCAGTGTCCAACCAAAGTGATTTTTTAAAAGCTTCCAAATGAAAGGAGTTAACATTTTTTAAAATTAAGAATTACCTTTAAAATAAAATGGTGATGAAAAATCACTATTTGCTGAAATGCATAGAAAGCCTCTGTTGTTGAAACACAAAATACTACAAACATTTTAAAACTTTTTTTTTTTTTTTTTAATATTTACCAGAAGCCAGATACCAGGGATAATGAAAAATGGAGCCATGGTGATTGGCAATGAGTTAGTGAAATAAGAGACACTTACACCGGGCCATTGGCAAAGGTGTAGCAGAGTTAATCCACTTTTCATAGAGCCTTGGGAACTTTCTACTAATAGCATTAATTCTACTCAAAATGAACTTTATTTTTTCACTTATAAGCACAGGACAGAGCACTGATTTAGCTTCGTGGGGGCAGTATATCACCATTTCACCCAAATTCAACAGGGGCCTCCCCTCAATGTTCAGGTGCCTTGAAATCTAAAGCAAACTAAGATCTTAAATATATCCAGCCTTCTAAATGCCTGGGTTTGATAGTGCAGGCAGAGAATCACTGTGGGATGGGTCACTCATATAAACTGGAATATAAGGAACCTTTGGGAGTCTCTAAGGAGTCACAGAAAATCTGTATTTTCCTAAAGATTTTGGCAGAATACAAGGCTCTGGCATTAACATGATTTTAGAACACATAAGATCCTTGAATTTAAGGCAGGTCTCCATTTCCTTAACCCAAGAATGAATTAATCTAGAAATATGGAAGCTTCCATTTACTCATAGATTAATTTAGTCACTAAAAGATCTACTTTAGAAATGACTCCTATAACAGTCCGTTGCAGTTCCAAACGGTCTCTTCTATTATTAACACCACACACTATAAAATGAAAGGATAAAATGTTTTCAAAAGAAAAAACAATAAAATTTACTCTTTGCCCATAAAAATGGACAGAAAATTCCACTCAAGAGCCCCAGACTACCTTCCAAGCATAGCAGAAATAATTTCAGAGGTTAAAGCACTTACAATGTAAAAACTTTGTTCCATTCAGGGTTGAGGTTTTTGTAGACGGTATGCGTCTGAAGTCGGTCATTGCCTAACTCCAACAAGCAAAATGGGTCACTCTTCCCTGGAAAGGTAACATACACATTGGTCAAAGACAACTGAATCTCAGAAGAGACAAGGGCAATATGAACAAGAGTCAGATAAAGTTGTGCTTGCTGAAAGAGGGAACAAAAGACTCCTTTTCCAATGAGTCATGGAGGCCCTGTATGGGAATCCAGGAGACAGGCAGAGGCTACAAGTGCTGTACCTTTAGCATACTTAACGGGTTAGAACAAACACACCACCTTGATATGGTGTGGTTGTGTCCCCACCCGAATCTCATCTTGAATTGTAGCTCCCATAATTCCCATGTGTTGTGGGAGGGACCTGGTGGGAGGTAATTGAATCATGGGGGCGGTTTCCGCCATACTGTTCTTGTGGTAGTGGGTAAGTCTCACGAAATCTGATGGTTTTAGAAGTGGTTCTTCTTTCACTTGGTTCTCATTCCCTTTTGCCCGCTGCCATGTAAGACATGATTTTCACCTTCTGCCATGATTGTGAGGCCTCCCCAGCCATGTGGAACTGTGAGTCCATTAAACCACTTTTTCTTTATAACTTACCCAGCCTTAGGTATACCTTTATCAGCAACGTGAAAACAGACAAAGATCAGGCCTTGAAAGCCAGTGGCCACACACATTTCACAGGAGTGGGAATCTCTTTGGCATGAGAGCCCATTTCTTTGTTTTTAAAATGAAGTTCATCTCTGTTTCCTTCCTAAATTCTAAGTCAATCTGTATAATTACAATTCTATAACTGGAAACCTATAACTTACAGGCTTCTACATGGCTATAAGAGGAAGTGAGAAAAAGTGTAAAACTGGTTCTTTAGGCGTTAAGCTCTGCTCCTAAGCAAATGGCCACAAATACTCATGATCCTGTATACTCAGTACATTATGAGAAGACATGAGTTACATTTTTGGTGTCATAAAACAAACAAACAAAAAAGTATAACTCAATAAAAGTCAGAGTTTTTAACTTAACAAAAAAACTAAACTCATCTTTCACTTCTCACCTCTTCTCTTTCCACTCTATCTCCCATATTTGCACACCAAAAAAGGTAAGAAATTTCCAAATCCAAAGTTAGACCTACAGTGTTACGAAGCAAAAAACTCACTTCCCTTTTGTTGTGTTTGGCGGAAGGATGTGGAATTGGAACTGTCAGAGAAAGAATGAATGGCTCCATAACGTTCATAGGACGTTAATGCATTGCTGGCCTCTGCAGCGCACTGGCACTTTACAAAGCAGCGCTTGCTAAATTAATTGGGGGCACAAGGACAGATGCTGTTCCAACAAATGGCCAAGGAGTCTCAGACCAGGGCCTAAGCCAGAGAGTGCTCAGGCCTCTTGACCTGCTGGCCTACCATTCAGGTCACTGAACCTCCATCTAATTCGTTTAATAACCAGGCGCTCTGAGGTACAGCACATCAATAGAGATACTGATACGTGCAGGAGCCTGCATGAAGATTATTGTTTAAAAAGGGAGGAGAAGAAGAGCAGACACATGGGTGATGATTTGTATTAAACAGGAGATTCCGCTCAACTGACTAGTGGCCTGGACACTTAGATCCCTGGCCAAAGCTTTTAAGTCAATGCTACTATTTCAGTTACTAGCAGACAATGATCAAGCCAGACATAAAGGAATGAGTGAGGGTTTTCGATTGTAAACAATGGAAATAGTCGCTGTCTACATGTAGCAGAAAAGAAATTTATAAAATAATATCAAAAAGCATTCAGAATTCCTACAAAGTTTGGAGAATCGGGCTAAAAAATATCACTATAAACCAAAGAATACTTAAGCACAAGAAACTCAGCCCATCTCACACCAGCAAAAGTCTGTTGTGGCCTCTGCTTCCCCAGAATACTGCTCCCACAATTCACTTCCAACATGAATTCTCTACTCCTGCTTCTTTGCCTCACTTAAGGCCGATGCAAGGGGCTCTGGAGCCTTTCATAGCCAAGTACTCAGACCTGAAAGGCCAGAATCACCAAGGGAATACTGCATTTGTAGCCTCTGTGAATGAAAGTGGGCTTTGACCTCTTCTTCAACATAGACAATGGGAAATGATTCAAACACGGAAGGGGTTTCAGGTGCTGGGGAGTCAAAATCAAACTAACATAAAAATCCATCTGCACCCACAAAAAGTCTTGTTTATTGAAAGACAGTTTACTCTGGCCATGTGGTTTGCAGGGGAAGAGGCTGGAGTTAGCTGGGAAAAAGCCTACCAACATATAACAACACCATTTCCTCTTCAGCAATTGTGAACAAGAAGACACCATGTACTTTCGGCTTAATGCTCAGGTATACCATGCTTGATTTCTCAACCCAGGCTGAAACAGCTACTTAACCGTTTGTCAGACTATTAGTAGGTGTCAGCACTGCTCCTCTGGAGACACCAGCATGACACGCCATCAGCAGTTGCTCCAGGGAAACCGTCTGACACTTTTAATGAAAACCCTGGGGTTACTCCACAGCAGGGCAGAGATGCTGCCTGGTCCTGTTGAGGCACAGGTGGGCTCGTTCTGTGGCTCCCGCTCTCTCAAGCAAGCACGCTCTTAGCTGTCCCAGCTAATGAGGAACAGACTTTCCTTCAGAAACCAGGAACTTCAGTTATGTGTCTCCAAGGGACACATTGTACCAACTCTCTGAAGATAATTCAGTCAAAGCTCATTAAAATGCTGCATTTATTAATATTACAGAATACACAGAGAGAAGCAAGAAGAAACAAAGACATTAAAATGTTTACATAGTAATTTACGCACACTTTAAGGATTGATTTCTCTTAAAAAGTTTCAGAAACATGGGGACTTTTAGTAAAATTTAAATAACAAATATTGTTTGAGATAACAAGTATCTTTCATGATAAAGGAAATGTCCAAATGCTCACCAATGGTACTGAGAGAAAAGGACAAGGCAGACTGACATACATGCATTTGAGGCTGTGCTTTTCCTCTTTGTATCACCCATTTCACAGGAAAAACATCTAGAAGACCTCCTCTGTGTCCAGATGCCACATCACCTTGACACATTTATGCCACCGACAATTCAGTTTCAAATTGAGGTTTAGCACTTTGCACTCAATAGCCTTTGCTCTTTTCCAACATTGCTTTAAAATTTATTTGTATTTCTTGAATGGCAAGTAAGGGAGGTTCACCTAAAGAGTTTTACCTTTGTATCAATTACAGAAGTTGAATGACAAATAATAAATGTGTTGCAACAGTCATATCATTCATTTGATAACCTTTTGATAACCTTTTTTTTTTTAAAATGGAGTCTCGCTCTGTTGCCTAGGCTAGAGTGAAGTGGTGTGATTTGGTTCACTGCAGTCTCTTCCTCCTAGGTTCCAGCAGTTCTCCCTCCTCAGCCTCCTGGGTAGCTGGGATTATAGGCATGCACCACCATGCCCAGCTAATTTTTGTCTTTTTAGTGGAGACAGGGTTTCACCATGTTGGCCAGGCTGGTCTCAAACTCCTGACCTCAGGTGATCCACCCGCCTCAGCCTCCCAAAGTGCTAGAATTACAGGCATTAGCCACCATGCCCAGCCCATTTGATAACCATTTATTAAGCATATAGCTTAATAAATGTTCCTAGCACTAAACTGACCCTGACATACAATGATCACCTAAGCTATTACCTGCAAGGGACTCTCATAACGGTCTCTGCTATTCTGAAAATGCTGCCTTTTCCAAGAAAACTTTCCTCACTCTCATCCCACAGCAGACTGAGTTGTTTCCATTTCAGATCTCCAACTGTGTATTGCCCTTACTTCTCTTATATCCCACATTTGTAAATTTCCACTCCACAGTCAAGATGTGTATTCACTTAAGGGTCCTGATGCAGGCACACCCAATATATGAATGCTCTTACCATCCCCCAAGAAGAGTGCCATGGCCTAGGGATAGAGGGCAGCGGTGAAATGCAGATGAGAATATGAAAGTTCAAAGAAATGTAATTCGGTTCAGAAAAGTTCAGAAAGATTTCTTAGTGGGGGTGATTCTTAATCGAGGTTTACAAGGGGAGTGTTTGATAAGCAGAAATGGATAAGTCCTTCTTGTTGAGATGGGACAGGTCAGAGCATCAAATTTATTAGGAAGATATATATCTCCCTAATAAAAAATGAGATACATATGTATCTCATATATATGATATATATGTAAGTCTCATATATCTCATATATATATGTATCTCATATATATGAGATATATATGTATCAATCATAGCTCATGGTACTGTAACTTCGAATTCCTGGGATCAAGTAATCCTCCTACCTCATCTTCTACGACTAGCTAGGACTACAAGGACATGCCACCACTGTTGGTTATTTTTTTTTTTTTTTTTTTTTTTTTTTTTTTGGTAGATACCAGGTTTCATCATGTTGACCAGTCTGGTCTGGAACCCCTTGGCTCAAGCAATCCTCCCTCCTTGTCCTCTTAAAGTGTTGAAATTACGGGTGCGAGTCACTGTGCTTGGCCCTAAGTGTTTTCTTCTTCTAACTCCACTTCCCCGCCACTTCTCAAGCCCCCCAACAATATCATCATTCACTGATCTTGTCTAACATCTTCTCATTTTCATTCTCCCCTCAAAACATTTGCTCCTCACAGCTGCCAGAATAAACCTTTGTAAGTTTGTATCGGATCATATCATTCCCTTAATAGTTTTCCAAATTTGTTCACCTGGCCCCAAAGTTCCTAGGTTATCCAGTCCCACCTAAGACATGAACATCCTCTCCCCTGAGAGGTCCCTTTTGCTTTCTGTCTTCTGGTCCTGCTTGCTTTCTTCCAGACCTCTGAAAAAGCTGGGCAGGCCCTGGAACATTGCTGTTTTCTTATTTTCAAGTGCCTTTCCTTCATCTCTGCAGTGCCAACTGTTTCTCATGTCTCTATTTGACATCTCTGCTAGAACATCACTTCCTGCAGAATCTCCAGTCAGGCATCCCTTCCATAAGAATTAACACCAACCATGTTCTTGACCTTAGCAGTATAATTGAAATTAGACAGCCACTGGTTAAATCAGTCACTTCATATGAG